AGGAAGAGAGGAAAGAAGGAAGAAAGAGGAAGAAGAAGAGAAAAGGTCTGGTTCGAATTAGGAAAAAGTCAACCCTAGTTTTGGCCAGACCTGTTATTATATTATTAATATAATTGGAAAAGACATAAGTGCCCTTATTTAAGTAAGAGGCACTCGAACTAACATAATAGTACACATCAGCATTCTCAACAGGTACAAAGACCGAAATACCCCTTCACTAACAGTGTCTAGTAGGGCATCGACTTCTGGAACAAATTCCCCTTGGGCCCTACAACCAAGGGAAACCCTAGATACAGACCTTGCTGTGTTCTACGGTCAACCCTAGGGTTTCTTCACAGCGGCCAAGATAGGAGAGAGAGAGAGGAAAAAGAAGGAATAGAGAAGAGCAGAAAAGTGGCGGCTATAACCAGACAGACGGATTAGTGCTCTGATACCATGTTTGCTGGAACACAACAGCCGAAGAAGAAGAAGAAGAAGAGAAGATTTGAGAATGGCGGCTCATCTACTTCAGCCGGCCCTACAATCTTATATAGATGTTTACAAAATAATGTTACATGAATGGACTAGAATGCCCCTAATTAGTGATGGGACACCTAGACAAATAAAACATTAAACTAGTTTAGGCCCAATAACTAAAGACTTAAGACACAAATATGACTAACGTAAACACTAAATCAGCCGGACCAACAGGTCCAATTTGAGTCCATGTGCATGAATTTGGGCTGATCCGGATATCCTATTTGCTTTGTTAATGTTGCAAGACTGATGGGCCTTGGACCCTTGCATGTTTGCCCTTGTAGATGGACTGTAGAGTTCCTTGATGTGAAGTCCATGGTGCGATGGGCCCAGTCACAGATCACGGGTCCTAGCTGTCTTAACCATTGAATGCCTAGCACCATGTCCGCTCCACTGAGATGAAGAGGATATAGGTCCACCGCAAACTGGTTACCCTGAACCTCTAGTGGTAGGCCCATGCAAATGCTATTGCAGGATAGGCTATTACCGTTGGCCACATGAACCATAAAGCCATTGTTGGTTGAACCAGGAGTCCCATTTTATCCACCAAGACTTGAGTTATGAAGTTAAGGGAGCTGTCACTATCTATGAGAATTGACACTTGGCATCCTTGGATTTGCCCTGCAACTCTCATTGTTTGAGGTGACGCAAGTCCAGTAAGGGCTTGTAGAGATATTTCAGGTGTGCCATTGGATTGTTTTTCCCACCCTGGGTTAGATTCTCTGCAACCGATGAGGTCGCCTTCCTCTTCGGCATCTATTTGGAGGAGAAGTGCTTGTTGTTTCTTGCAACGATGGCCCGGCCCGAATTTCTCTTCGCAGTTGTAACAAATACCTTTGTCTCTGCGGGCTTGCATCTCTGCCCAGGTCAGCCATTTGAAAGGAACCAGTGGACCTGGGCCCAGTATTCCTTCCTCCTTGTCTGGTGCTATCGTCCTGGTTCCTGGACCCCATGGCCGTTGCACCTTTCTTGCTCCAACGAACTTATCCTCATACAATCTTGCTAGTGGTGCTGCATTGATGACCAAAGTGGGCTGCATCGCCTTTACCTCCAGTCGCAGTTCTTCTTTCAGGCCACCGACGAAGCTTCCCACCAGTGCCTTCTCCGTCCACCCTTGGACTATCATGGCCAGCCTTTCGAACTCCATTTGGTAATCTTTTACTGATCCCACCTGCCGCAGCTTTGCCAAACTTTCATCATGATCTTCGAACCCAGACGATCCAAAATGGATAGTCATGGCGTCCGTGAAGTCTGCCCAAGTTTGACGAGGGTGCCCCCGTCGGTACAATTGAAACTAGAGTATAGCTTCCCCTTCAAGATGCGCAGAAGCCAGAGCTACCCTGTCTTGTCCAGGTGTCTCATGGTAATCGAAATACCGTTCGGCTCTGAGAATCCAGGAAGTTGGGTCGCCGCCTGAGAAGATGGGGAAATCGATCTTGGCTACTCTCGTTGCCACCCCTGTTCTGCAGTTGTTTTCATTGCTGCGCTCTTCTTGGCTTCCTCTGTCGTTGTTCGTTGCCCCCTGCTCCAGTCGAATGAGGAGAGCAGTAAAACCTTCCTTCATTTCTTTGAGATCTAAAGGTATTCGATGGATCTCTACTTCCATCTGATCCACTCGGGTGTCTACTGACGTGTTTCTTGTGTTGGTCATGCTGGCTCTGATACCAACTTGTTAGGAACCTGCCTAACTCAGGGCTCTTCGAGGGGCCAACCTCCTGAATTCTTGGAAGGAGAGAGAGAGAGAGAGGGAGAGAGAGCTAGAGAGAGATTAATGCTGAAAGAATCAATGCCTTTATTTCTCTTGTGCTTTACTACTTATACTGTTTTACAATCTTGATGCCTTTCTGTTACAGCTGTTGCAAGTGGATGATTAGTTCTGCTGACGTGGCCTCCTCTTGTAAAACTGATTAACTGTTTTTTGTTGGTCTGTTCCAGCAATCTTTACATACCATCATTAACATGAAACAATAAATGCGCTTTATTCATTTACAAATAAATGTTTATTTACATCAATCTGATTGGAGCTAAGGGCATAAACTGTCTAAGAAGAATGTAATGTAGATTTGTTCTAAGAGCAAAGAGCTAGGATATCTCTTTACTAAGAACCTTAATCCTTGAGAGATGGAAACCATATGGATCTTACACCCTCCTAGATGTCTATGATATATGAACTAGCAAGTCGTTCTGCCCTAGAGAGCACACTGAACTAGCATAAAAGGTTCCCAATTGACATTCTTTGCATGGATTAACTACATTAGATGAAGGGAGCTATTCTATTTTCACTAGAAGAGATTGGTTGGTCTCTTGGATCATGGGTACTAGAATATTTTCCAGATCTAATTTTATGCATAGGTTGAGTACCATATCAAGAACATGGTATATTTTATTTTCTTAAATCAAAACAGTTAGAAAAACAGAGATCTAGGGTTACAAGATAGATTAGTTTTGTTTTTTTTTTTTCCTACTATGAAGTAGTTCAACCGTAAGGACTCTTATTGAGCATATAACTGGACTTGTTGGAACATCCTTGTAAGGTTGTCATCAGATGGTGTTAGCAGGAGGTAATTACAAGTAGGGATTGAACTCCAATATTGTTGTAAGAAACTTTAGGGATGGGCTGAATACCCAAATCAT